TTCGATGTTTTCTTTAACGAGTTTAAGAAAACCAGAATGAGATTACATCATAGCTGGGGCAACATTGTGCGAATCCTCAATAGTTTTTCCAATAATAGTCCAATTTCTTAGAAAAAAATATGAATGGTGAAAAACAAAATTATCAATGGCAAAAATAAAAACAATGAATTGCCTAGAAAATGTGTAATGTAGTCAGGAAGTATGGATGATGGATTCCCATTTTTTTAAAACCTCGTTTGTGGCCTGCGGGGGGGGGGGGGGGGGGGGGGGGAGGTGGAGGGAAGTTTGCGTTCCTACTATTTGAGGTTGCACCCTCCCCTCCCCCCCCCCCCCCCCCCCGCGTCCCGCTTCTCTTTTTCGTCCTTTGACATTGTCATCCTTCTGCAAGCTTCCTCTTCAAAACATATTTTTTACACAACGGTTTTCGTACAATATCGCAATTAAGTGCATCGCCCACAAACAGTGATCTCTAGAAGCTCTGTTTTATCCTTGTCTAAACAGCCTGTAAATTCTTCTCAAGAATCCATATTGTCGAGGTTTAATGCATACAAATGGTTTGGAACATTGAAAAAATGTCTTATACTGTACACACACACAAAAAAATTAACAGTTTTAAGCTACCTTACCTAATTAAAGACAATGTAGACAGATACTTTGAAAATGCACTTGTTATAAATGACTGGTCAAAGACATAGTTATTAAATATTCCGGGAGGGGGTGGAAGTCATGCATAAACTGATATATTATGAGATCTTTACACAGAACATTCACCTGCAAAAAAAAAAAAAAAAGCGAGCCATCTCTATTTAGTAGGCATAATGATGAACAAGATCAATGTTTTCCTTGGCCGATAACACGTAACATGAAAAGTGGAATTGCATGAGAAGAATCTGCGGTTGCTTGACGTGACGCGTCTTTGAGTAGTCAGCGGATCTCGTTGATTGCGTTACACAACATGACGAAAGCCAAAGTTAATTTACGGTTAGTGACCTTTGATTATATCACGATGACCAAGGTTAAAAAGACCATTGAAAGGAATCCGATTTGTTTTATCTGAAGGCATATGGCTACACTCTAATGACTTTTCTTTCTTTACACTTTGTACTAAAAGTTAAAGCTAAAGGCCCTTTCCACATCATCGGGTATACGTTTGCAAGATCCACATTTTTAGATTGCTCAGCAATGGATGGGTTGTGTGGTTAACGTCACGATGACCGTCTTTATGTCCCAGGACATTTCTCTGTACCAATTTTAGACTGGCTCAACCTGAGAACTTTGTTATTATTATAAAGATCTTGCCCGATGCAGACTGGAACTCACCGCTTGTTTTCGAAAACGAAGCGTCAAACCAGTGCGTTTTAGCGGTTCTCTTATTTTTGTATTAATTATAACAATTTTCATAGTAAAGAAAACGATTAGTTGTTAGTCGAGGATTCAACATAAGGACCGAAGGATGGCCCCCATAACTGCGCTGTTCCTATGCCAGTGGAAATCACACAAAATGTCTGTAACTGAAAACTAGAGAAAAACGTGTCAGTCCTAGCAAAATCGTCAAGCTAGCACTCCCACCGTGAAAATGAATAATGCAGCTGTCAGAGATGCACAGACTAGAAGTCCCATACCAGAATTGCAGCTTACTGTTGGCACATAATGTCGATCACGTGACCCGGCACTGTACATGAACCTATTTGGCCACTCGCCATTTTAATGCGATCAACAACACGCCGTGTGCAAACAGAAAGAAAGAAAAAAAAAATGCATGCAATCCACAGTTCACAGTGACGTACCAAACACTCAACACAATAGCTAGGTAACGACTTTTCTACTCCCTGTCTAGAATTTGCATCAGCAAAACCTGGATGAAAGGACATATATTTTCAGAGCCCCAGCAGTCACTAAGGGCGTTGAAACGTGCACCCAGTACTTATACGTTTCCTATTATCGACTTGTATATGGCCGGAGTTTGGTCTGTCTTATCTTCATTGATAACTAGTCCCATTTTGTGAGCGGCTTTATTTAATAGACTGAAATTGCTGGGGCAAAGTGAGAGAATGTCAGAGGTTAAAAACTGTTAAAAAAAAAAAAAAAAAAAGGAGTTGATAGTCATAGACCACAAGGCAGTCGAAGAAGTCGATGGAGAAATAATTTCCAGACAGACCTGCAAAAACTTGGTGTCGCCAACTGGAAAGAGAAGGCAAACCACAGTGATGAATAGAGGCGAGTGATATCTGCAGCAATGAACATCAAGGGCTCAGAATGTTAAAGAAGTAGAACAAGAAGTATCTTTATTATATTGTTCTAGACTGTGATAAATGCCATTGTACTAGAATTGTAAACTTCTAAATTGTATCAGCACTATCACATTTGTCCTAGTTATGTCAATTCCTGCAGATAATGACGAATGTTTTAATTGTTCCCAACTTCTCAACTACTAAAGATCGTCACCATTCTGTCAGGCACGGCCGCCAAGAGCATTATCAAGTGCCGGAACAAGACTTATATGAGCCTCTTCAAGTGATCCCTCACACGAATTTCAAAAATGTCATAATTGTACCTTCATTAATTACAGTCAAAATTCTTGCAAACATATTAAAAAGAAGACAGATACTTCTGTAAAAGATTAAAAAAAAAAAAAAAAAAAAAAAAAAAAAACACAATAATACACATTAGTATGCAAACAGTAATGGTACAATATACATTAGAGGTGAATTTAATACAATCTTAGATAATTTGTTGTCAGCTTTATTTTTCATAAATATAGCCAAAAGAGAAGCGACAGTGGCAGGAAATGATTAAAGAATATGGAGGCACATATTTGGAAAGAGTTCTTTCAGTTTGTATCCTTTAAGCAATTCAATGGCTTCAATGGACTCAGCTGGCCCTTTCCAATACTCGCCTAATAAAAAATATGGCAAATGACGTATAGAAAATACAAGATCTGACACACTGAAATCAGCGGCAAATTGATGTGCTAGTAATTTTGATTTCCCTTCAGTTGATTTTGAGGAACTGGTGGAGACTTCAAGAGGAAACCGAGCATCACTTCTAAATAAATAGTCAAATAGTTTGAAAATTGAAACGAACAGTCAGTCCACCAATAGCAGTCTCCTATATTACATAGAAGACAGTCTTCCTGAAATATGCTTTCTCTGAGGGTTCATCCATTTATTCTTGTTACTGTTACTTTACTAGTATCTTCGAAATGGAACCTATTCATTTTGCATTTTGTTTAACCCTGAGCGCCAGAGCAACAACTGTGTACAGGTTTTTTGCAAATAATAATAATCAGATGATTGCTGATTCCCTTTACCCCCATACATTCCAACAACATATTCCTGTCGACTCTATCAAATGATTTGTGGGGTCTATGAATGTCAACAAACATGTCTTACCATGTTCTATTGCTTTGTCTCAATGTATAAATGACATCTGTGCAACTTCTGTTGTTGCTCTCTCTGATAGCTGTCTCAATGTATAAATGACATCTGTGCAACTTCTGTTGTTGCTCTCTCTGATAGCTGTCTCAATGTATAAATGACATCTGTGCAACTTCTGTTGTTGCTCTCTCTGATAGCTGTCTCAATGTATAAATGACATATGTGCAACTTCTGTTGTTGCTCTCTCTGATAGCTGTCTCAATGTATAAATGACATCTGTGCAACTTTTGTTTCGTAACAAGTGAATCGATACTGACCTGACAGGACTAGAGCACATAACCACCAACACCACCCCATCATTGGGATGATAGCAAAGGTTGGTAACATGATACACATAATCCCGGCTAAAGGCCACGCTATAATCTAGCAAGACGGCAACGACGAGAAATGTCTGAATGGCCTCCAGCCCCCTTTTCCCTCACCCTTCCCTACCTCTTTCGGATGCACTATGAGTTTAACCCCACTCTCACAGAGAGCACTTGAGTTCGATACCCAACATGCCACAGCAATTCTCATCGCCGAACTTTTGGATCTCAAAGCGTGAGCTAAATGCTTCGGGTATATGGTGTTTATGTACATCGGAGCCTAACTGCCAACCCAAATCAACACAACCGGATCACACACTAACACATGACGATTAGACCAGCTTTAATGCTCCACATACCATTTTACACACATTTCCACGACATGATTAACCCTTTCTTATTATAGGAAGACAAGCCCGGCTCTCTAGCGGAATTGGCTAAACCGGATTTCGCAGAGACCGGGTGACGTACTCCTTGTGGTCCGGGTTCAATCCCGGGGGTAGGCAGGAAAGCCACATTTTCTCCCAGATTTACGGTATTTACAATGGAATCAAGGCCGAAAGGTTGCGATATCCATAATACCGAGCCTAAGGGTTAACAACTCATGGCTTCTGGATACTAAAACAAACATACATAGAAAGACAACTATAGAATCACTATGGTCACACGCGAAATATGTTTACATTTCTAAACTATCAAAAAATCAAAAACTGTTTTCATTATTTTTTACGCACAAAATACTCACAATTTTAAAACTGTAAATGGTGGTCCAAAGGACCCTATGAAATACGCCTGGTTAAATCAAAGGGAGAAAACACAAACTGGAAACGCCAAGTAAGAAGAGGGAAGACAAGCAACACCACAAATATAATTAGAGACTGTTAGCAGCCTCGGCTGCTTTTTTTTTTTTTTTTTTTTTATGATCTTAATCAATTTGACACATTGTTTTAAATCTCATACAACTAGATCACGACTGTTTTGGGGTGGAGAAAAAGGGAAAAAAAAGGGCGGGGGGGGGGGGGGGGGTTTGGATGACTGGCCCAAAAAAAAAAAAAAAAAAATATGACTGACTTAGTTTCAGGGATATCTGAATGACCTGCCATTTTACATTTTTCGTCACTGTATGTCATTACAAAACCATAAACATATTAATGCTTTGTTTCTAAAAAAAAAAAAAAAAAAACACACACACACACATCCAATAAGATATCTATATCATGCTGCCACCAAAATCAACAGCTAGTATCAAATATATGTTTTACATACTGGATGAGAACGTCCTATGATCTCCAGTTTTAAACCTTTCCCATTTGACCATTAGGGCCGGAATAGTGTATAAAATTGGATTAGCAGCGGAGTTTATGGGAAGTAGGAGCACTGTTGTCCAGCCATAAACCTCGCTGCTGACCCCATGACCACCTAATGACATAAGTCCCATAACTCCAACAGGAAACCAGAAGAGAAAATTAGAAAGAACTACAAGGGACAATTGTTTGGCTACAGTAATATCTTCGACACGCCGTGAACGAGGCGTGTTAACTGTTGACTTAGATATTCTATTCTCTGACATGGCACGGAAGATCGCGTACTGACCGTATGCAATGACAAGAAACATAATAATGTTAAAAATAATAAAAACAACAACTGAGTAAATCCAACCTTTAGCGTATGTGTTTGTTAAGGGCAGACCAAGACACATTGCGTTAGAAGAATATATGTCAAAACTAAACAGAATGGGAACCAGTGCTAGAAGGAAACTTGCCACCCAAGACATCACCACAGCGCTCATTTTAATACATTTAGAGCATTTCTTTTGACCAAAGGGAAACTTCATCACCAGAAACCTGTCTAGAGTGATGAGAAAAACAAAGAACGTTGATGCTTCACAGGAAAGACAAGCCATAAACCCAGCGATCTTGCACACAACACTGGTCCTCCAGCTCTTGTCATGAAAAACGTAATTGTCACGAAAGAAATAATCAGCCCCGGCAATAATGAACAGATATACTCCCATAATAAAGTCAGAGATTCCCAAGTTTGTCACAAACAGACCGAATCCAGTCTTGAGAACTGTCCTATCCCAGATTACACGATACACAATTACCGTCAAATTACCCAGAACTGCTAATGATGCTACGACCAAGAGAATATATCGCTGAATTGAAAGTCCTAGCAGATTAAAACACGACGAAATAGCATCTGCATCGACAGGTGTTTGGCATGCGTGGGATGCAATGATTAAGCCCTGAATGTTGGGACAGCAAATCTGAAAAAAATCAGTGTACAATGTCTGACTTATCATAAGACCATGAAATGAATAGTCGTGAATATCTTCAGCGGGAATTCCTCGTAAATCAAGTGTCTGTAAAGTACGCTTGGAATCGAAGTATAGTCCCGTGAATTCTGAAATCAGGGTGTAACTTAAATTGAGATGCTTTAGTCTGGGCAATGCTGCAAACACCGAACTATTTAGGTAGGAAATACTTGTATGAGATACATCAAGTATTTCTAACACATTGAATCGTAAATGTGTTAACAACGTCAACTCCTGATTGTATGATAAATTAAGATAATTTATGTGTTTATAATAATAATTGTAATCAGGCTGTGAAAATATAGCGAAAATATTGTAACTAATATCCAGTTTCTGTATCATAAACGGTGGTGGTTTCATACCGTTTTTGTTGCGCTTGGGAATATATAAGCTTTTGATCCTGCATTTGGATATAATAAGTACTTTCAAATTAAAAATGATGTTATTCAGAAGTAGAGTATCTAAGAAATCTGTTTCCATTTCTACTCCTGACAGGTCAAGATATCTGGTCCGTCTGTCTAAATCAGAGAAAGCTGGTTTCGAGAAAACTGTGCTGTTATAATCTGATGGCATAACCGTCCCTGCCACACAACGGAAACCTTTAGGACACAATTCGTGGCAATCAAGTTCATCATCACCAAGCGGACAGTCAGGACGAACATTACAAACTAGGTCAGGATGGAGGCAAATTTGGCTGTCCCAGCAAGCGAAATAGTTATCACTACACGGGCCAGTGTAGAACAGTTGTTCATCTTCTCCTGTAGGACAGTCAGCTTTTCCATCACGAAGATAATGACGAGGGATGCAGTACGTTTTATAGCATTTCACATACTCTTGACCACAATGGAAGTTCTCGCAGTCTTTCAGATGTGACATGTCTCTGCAGCCTATGATACCACCGTCTCTGTATTTGATAAAATGACATTTTGGAGCCCAGATAAAATGTCCAAATTCATTTCTACAAGTTCTTGCACGTTTCAGTGCACCTATAGTCTCATCTAGTGGTCCTTCAGAACCTGTACAGTGTTTGACTCCATCATTTAGCTGCGACTCGTCAATACAAGTGTCACGGTTGCAAATTAACGCACAGCTTGTGTTTTTTTCTTTGTTCCATCGCAGTGGTAGACATGAACCATCGTGACATGTTTCACTTTTACAAATATAAGCCTCACAGTTATCCTCGTCGCTACCGTCTCTACAGTCTTTTACATTGTCACATTTGAACTCTGAGCTTGGCAGACGTTGTCCGGATTTGCAAAGCACTGTATCTTCTTCTGTTAATAATTGTCTTGGATTCACACAAGCCTGTTCGTCACGTTGGTTTTTGCAGTGATGAACGAAGTCACATACCATGCTATAGGAAATGTACCTACCATCACCGACATCTTCCCCACAGTCAAAAACGGGAAAGTCTTGCGTATTGTTTCTTAGAAATTGAAAGAGTGGTACTGCTTTGTGAAATTCAAAAGTGCCATTTTCAGTTAGATATGTTTTAGTAATATGTCGAGAAATAGCAGCCTCACATATGGATAAAGATAATATTTCCTCTTGACAAGAAACATCTGCCCATCCCTCACTTGAGGCGACATTAGTGATATTCGTGAGAACATTAGGGCTATTGTTATTGTGTGTCCAGCTATTGGTAAAACGCCAGACCCCACAGTCATTATTGGCGAATCGTCTAGAAGGTTTACCTGGCAACCAGTGATTGATTAACAGTGGATGATTTCTTCCCGGAGTGGTCTCCCATTGAAATAGTTTTGCATTGTTGCTCACATCTCTGCGAAGTCCGATATGGAAGCTGATAACAGGGTCTTCATTTCTTTTAAGCACTTCATATGCTCGCTTCCTTAAAAATAGCATCTCTTCCGCGGTTTCAATTGCTGCTAAGTAGCTGTGAAAATAAGTGCTGCACCGTTGCGATTCACTAGTCCAGGATTGAAAATCAGGACTGGGGATGATACTATAACAGGAGAGCATATCTAAGCTGGTTTTGTGTTCAAGGGAAAACCAGCCGTCACTACACAAGCGGCACATTGCCATTAATAGATACTGTCCGAACTTCACTAACTCCATGTCGGGAAGAACTATAGTGTCAGACAAGAGTACGATTTCCTCCACAAGTTTATTACCAACTATCACAACAAATATCTTCACATCTGCTGCTTTTCGCTGTTCTACAATGGATGATACGTTTCTTATTTCTTCATATGTGAAACTGGTACCGTCAAGAAAGACAATTCCAACACGGACTGCCATATCTGTGACCAGGGCGCCTATTTCTTTAAACAAATGTTCCACATAGCCTATTTTTAATTCAAGAACTGTGCTTACATTTCTAGTTATCTCCAGACGTGTGGCATACCCACCCATGTATGGACGATCATCATTAAACTCCTTGTCATTAAACCAGTCGCTCAAATGTCTGGTCTCCGTGTGTTCACTGAGCTGATCAACCACTGTGGCTCCATACAAAATTGATTTTGAACAATAAAATAGCGAATTCAGTTCCTTCACTAATTCGTGCTGCTGCTTCCATGATATATCGATGCCATCATTCAACAGCGATAGCATGAGTATGCTAGTCGCTCTGCAATCTTGCAAGGGAAAGTTTCCCCGCGTGTCTCCGTTTGCCACTGCCAGAATGAAGATAAAAGACTTTTGTAATAAGACATCGTTTACATCTATACGTGCTAGTGTATGCATCTACAATTTGAAAATCGTAACACCAAGAGGGACGGGAACACAAAGAAGACGGATTGGAGGAGTCATTGACACCATGATACTGCATAACATCACGGCCCGTCAAGCGACCGAGCTCGCCCTGGCTTGGCTGCTGATCATCCGATGAACTGTGACGCTTAGTGGCATAAGCAGATACTGATAAGAGAAGAAGAATTACGGAAGCTGTATATTTAGCGTGTCTTTGCATAATATAAACATGCACAGCAGACAGCAATATATATATATATCAAAATCATGGTCTGGACTTTTTTTTGCTCAGTTTTTCACCGTATGGGGCATCTACCTTAATCCCTCAGTTTGATGGGTCCGTTGGAGGGGCAGCCATCAGGGGGTGGTCACTTTACATCACATAAGTGTAACTGCACGGTCGGGTGTCAGTTGCCCGTAGCAGGCACATGACACATAGTTCGCTGGGGTGTTAGTCCACGTTTGGAAAGACTGCTGAGGGGAATTAACGGGAAGGCAGTAGAAGACATTATTTCGTCGATCACTGGTTCATCATTGGTGTGTTTTTCCATGATAATCCATTGTTTGGATGACATTCTTCGGTTTCATGAAGACATCGAAGAACAAGGGTTGAGAAGTTTGTTGGAGTGCATCCGGTCATTTGGATCAACAGTCAGAGTAACCAAGGTAGAGGTTGTAGTACAGGAAGTGACGTTCCTGGGTCATGTTATAGGCAGAGGGATCAGAAAACCCGTTCAAACCAATGTTCACAAGTTTCTGAACCTGCCTGCCCCTAAGACCATAAAGCAAGTTCGGGCATTGTAGGGTTTGAGTAATTTCTACGCTAAATTCATTCCCCATTATGCCACCATCACGTATATGTGGTCTGATCTGACTAAGAAGGGGATGCCAGACAAGATATGGTGAAACCAACAATATGCCGAGTCCTTGAGACGATTACAAAGTGCATTCAGTCATTTGCCATTGTTGTGTTTGCCTAATTTAAGTGTACTCTTTGATATTTCATGTGATGCATCTGATGTGGAAGTGGCCAGTGTCCTGGTACAGGAGTTCCCAGGTACCTTGCATTCAGTCCTGTATGTCAGTAGGAAACTGTCCCCAATGGAGACAGGCTACTGTGTGATGGAACAAGAGTGCCTGTCTTATGTGTGAAATATATTGTTCATTTTGTGCATGTTATGTAAATTATGAACTGCATATTACCATGTGTTGAGCACGGCAGTCCTGTCTCGAGCAAACAGAAACAGATGGTGTCTGTTTGCTGGAGGAAAAGGGGGGGAATAAGCTGTTGTGTGCAATATATGGGTATATGAAAGGGAAGTTCATAATTGAACGTAAAACTTGGTGCGGTGCAGCACACAGTGAACAGATTGTGAAAAGAGAGAAAAAAAAAAACGGTTGGCTCCAAGTCCCCGGAGAGGAAGGATGCGGTAATGTAGGTTCTAGTCTGGGTGTTGCCAGACTAGTCCTGCACACCCGTATGTTACGCTGGCGTTAGGCGTTCAGGCTATCGGCGAGAGATGCCGCAGAGACCGGGCCAGCGTGACAGAAGCTCGTGTGGTGAGATGGGAGATCTCAAGTACGTGTCAGGCCGCAGACGGAAGGTCTGGATAATCTTCACAAGGTATTGTGCTTCGGCCTGTATGATTTTTCTAGTGACAGTGTACCCAAGGGATGGGTGTCATAGAGATAGACACGTAATCACGAGTAATGGGTTCGCACGAGCAGGTAATGTTTGCTCGTAGTTAACCACTGAACAGAGTGACAGTAGAAGTCGTCCAGAGCGTCCTGAGTGTGTGTCGCCTTGATAGTGAGAATGAATGTGGCAGTATAGAAATTTATGTGGATTCATTGTCCTAGTGTTGAAATACATAAATTATGTTTTGACGTTCAACAAGTATCCAGCGTCCTTTATTGCTATTGGGCGGGAGTGGTGTCTTGTAACTGTAACACTATTGAACATACCTGGATACTTGGCAAGTGTGCGGTGTATCAAGCGAACATTTCGCACGCGTCAAAATCAGTATCACAGTTAAGGTCAATATATACAAATCACTGGTATTGTCTATTTTCTTTTACGGATAAGAGAGCTTGACTTTCACTTTGGAAATATAATTGAAGATTCACGCTTTCGAATGTAGTGCTATAGACACATTTTACGAAATATTTATTTAAACCCGAAACTAATAAATTATGTCTGAGACAAAATATACACATTTGCAGTTAATCAGGAGCCTCTCTTGGCAGTGATGAAACGTCGCAAGCTAGCTTGGTACGGGCGCATGGTGAGAAATAATTCGCTTGCAAAGACTGTACTTCCAGGGGATGGGAGTGTAGTGGCAGAAGAGAAGGGCAAAGAAAAACATGGAATGACATCAAGCGAATTTTTTTCTCTGAGTTTTATCCTGAAGAGGAAGACACAGGGGAAGATTGGGAGGGGGGGGGGGTTTAATGTGATTTTATCGATACACCTGCACGACCCCAAGGGTCAAGGGTTATGCACACTCGGCTCTCGAAACCACTGTTCATTCCCACACAAGGCGGCCTGCTGCTAAATAACACGCAGCTTGAATGGGCAGGGGTAGGTGGAGGATAGATAGACACAAAGCGCCTTAATAAAAATGTAAAAAATTGTCTAATAAAAAAACGTACTAATATAAGAAGTGTTTGGCAAAAAAGATGCAGATATCACAGCCTTGCTTAAACAACAACACAAGCGTCTTTTAAAGATCGGTGTAGTTTGAAATCTACAGCTATGACTCCCGAGAGTGCAGACCAGCTTGCCAGTCTTGCTATTCCATATTTCCCTGTGGATTTCTAGCTATGAACATACAATGGAAGGATAAGCTAAACAACCATACGCCAATACATTTAAACACACCATCAGCTCCAACGCATGATATCAGGAGGAAGCAACAAAATAAACCCGTCTCCATGTCTGATGATGATAAGCACCTATACGCGCTATCGCAAAATAAGTAACAGTCTAGAAACTACGTCTGACAGCAGTTTCAGAAACAAGTGAAATCTCATTGTTAACCTGTCGCACATCGATGTAATAGATGGCGCCAAACTCATCACCTTATATCCATACGTCGCTTGTGACACCCCACAAATCTCTGACTACCCGTGGTGAGTGCAAATGGTGCAGCCATGAGATTTATTATTTACAACACTTGTTAAAATGTCAAATATTACACAAAATATGACCAGATAGCTCAACAGAGGGACTGTTGTTAAAATGTCAATTATTACACAAAATATGACCAGATAGCTCAACGGAGGGATTGTCGTTAAAATGTCAGGGCTTTGTTTTAAGCTATTGTAGCAGCATAGAGTTTTATCTTCTCCCACTCGTCCCTCCTTTTTTCTTTTTTTCTGAGTTTGATACCAAATACAGCATAGGCCCTCTGCCATTCTATACAAATTGGTTTAATATTTACCAATCCATGCTGCTCATCCAATGTCCCATCAAATGAGTGTGTCACTTCATTTTTTATATCTCTTTTTCCACACGCGCCCGCGATTTTGTTTGATTTTAGTGTATCGTACCGTATCGTATAAAATCAAACAACAATTCCAAGCTTAGTCCTTTTTAGCCGCCTCATGGCCTGCTTTATCAAGGACGGTTCCTTTGCTATCTTATTTTATTTATCTTCCCTTGTGGTGAGCAATTACACCTGAGTTTTCTCATTTGTTGCCTAAGTTCTGGTTTTGATGGGTCCTGGTTCCTGTTTAGTTGGCTATCCGCTAGCTGTTGCACTGTTTATCTGTGCTAGTACCACGTCAGTCCTCAGCCACACCACCACGAAACAAACAGTCCTGCACACTGAGCGACCTAAACGGACGACTGTCACAATCTACTTGTGCGCAGCCGTTTTTTTTTTTTTTTTAACGTAGAGGAGGTAACAAAGATTTGCACAAAAATTAGAACGCCCGAAGGTGCCAAGATATTTTATAGTTAGGTCGGAAGATGAAGAGAGACAGATAGCTTGCTAGGTTGAGAAAGAGGTCCTTGATGTGTTGAGCTCTGCGCAATGCCTGCTCTTCAGCGTTTGGTTCCTGGGTTGATCTGGAAATAGACTGATTTACATTTTAAATATAAGTGGGAAGGGGCGGGGGAGGTTATCAGAGAAGCGTAAAAGACTGGAATCCACGAGTGCTGGTCCCCTTTTTGTGCTATGCCCTTTTAGCTGGTTTGCCTCAGAGCTTCGGGTGGCCTTGGTGGGTTCCGTCGGTTTTTAACTGAAAATAGTTTGATTAACATTTTAACCATATGTGGGAAGGGCGGAGGAGGTACAAAATAAAATGCATGATAGACTGAAATCCACGAGTGCTGGTCCCCTTCTTGTGCTATGCCCTTTTAGCTGGTTTGCCTCGGAGCGTCGGGTGGCCTTTGGTTGGTTCTGTCGTTTTAATCTTTCTAAAAATACACTAAGAGAAATTTATGTTAGTTGGTTTGTTTTAGTCTGAGTAATTCGCCTGTGGTAGAGAAGTAGTGGAGATAGTATATGTAGAATAGCAGGAAGGCTTTTCAGAGGACATACAGTGAGGTCGGAAGAGTGAGTGAGAGGGATAGTTGGCTCTGTTGAGGGTGCTGGTACTCGCTGGATCTGGTCAGTCACATCATGATGAGGGGTGGCTCTCAGATCGCTTTCCCGGTTTTGGATATGAACTGCTTCACAAGTCGCTGGAACTTGTCGCAGCTTACACTGAGGCAGTTTTCAATTGTCATAGGTTGGTTTGGGGCTCTGAAGTGCAGCACGAGCTCTTGTCTCTCTATTTCGTGGTGTTTACAGGTTAGTAAGAAGTGCCCCATGGAGTTAGGGGCCCTGCATTCCTCGCACACATGAGTGCGGAATCGGTCTGGCCAGCACCCTAGTCGCATCTTCCTCAGTTTTCGAATGGCCGG